CTTTTACTTATAAATTTTACTTATTAACCATAAAATAAAATTTTGCAAGTTAAGCAATTGTTGAAGAAAGAGTTAGTAAAGACTTATGTTAAAAAAAAAAAAAAAAGAATTGTTAGTACTTTTCTTTATTTTATAATACTTCATGTATATTTGATTATTACATTAACAATTAATAAAATTTATATTAAAAAAGAAAATAAAAATGCTACCCTATGTATAAAGAAAATCTATATATCCAACAATGAATTATTTATATATTATATAAAATACTACCTTCAAGAATTAAATAGACACTAGAATTTGTCATTTTTGTTTTAATTATAGAAGGAGCTTTGTTTGTTTTTTTTATGAGAAGAAGAAACTTTGTTAAAAAATAAGAAAATATTATTTTTACATTAAAATGTAATAAATGTACTTATTATTTTAACTTTCCATTTTCTTTCTCTTCTTATCTTATCTTTATCTTTATCTTTTCAATTATTTTATCATTATTTTATAAAAAATAAAAAAAGAATTATAATGCATATTAATTATTAAATGCATGCTAAAAGCTATATATATTTATATGGAGGTACCACTTTATCTTCCACATTAACCTAAAATTAATAATTATTCATTATATAATTCTAATGGCATAGTAATTTTATATTTTAAAATGTATTAAAGGTATTATAAATAATAATAATAATTAATATAACTTAAAACTAAAACTAATGCAAAGAGACTATAACATTCTTAATATGAGTGACATTAATACATATTATAAAAAAATATAAAATGATATGTAAAAAATTAATTAAAATTATTAGTTTTATAAGCCAAAAACATGGCAAAAGAGTCTAACAAATTAAAATAGATATTTAGTTAAAGGAAAAAATACACTTGGTTGATAAAAATAAAACATGCAAGATAACTAATTTATTAGAAAATATATAAGTGTATTTATTAATGAATTTATCATATTTTCTCTATACCAAAATAACTATTGTTTTTTACTTTTTCTCTAAATTAAGTATTTAAGGACAATTTCTATATTTATCTACAATACCCTTAAAAATGAAATAAAAGATAATAAAAGAGTTGTTATAGTTAGATGATTAATTAAAGTAATAGATAATGATAATGACATAGGAAAAAATATATATCTACCTTAAAAATAAAAAATGATGAGAATTAATTTAAGACAAATTTAAAATAAAAAATACTTATTTTCATTAATAATTTCTTAATATTTAAATTAATTAAATTTTTTATTAAAAATTATTATAAAATTAAATAATTAATATAAAAAAATATTCTTCCATCAAAGATAAATTAGAATTTAGATTTTATAATTTAAAATTTAAATTTAAGAACAAAAATTTAAAATATAAAATGATAACTATTTCACATTGTATAACTCATTTTATACCCATAAAAAAGGTTTTAACAAGTAATAAAATTTAAAATCTAAAATTTTTGAAAGCATTTGTCTCTATAGCGCGACGGCAATCAAATTCCTAGAAATTTTTTAGCCTAACATCCAATAAATTAACCCACATGTCCCAAAAGAAGTG